TATTTTTATAACAAAACACAACAAAATTCATTTAATGAAGAAAGTGCGAAAGTAAAATTTATTGTGAAATTTCTTTAAATGTTGTTATATAATTTTTTTTTGAATTTTATTCATCATCATCTGTGTGAAATGGGAGGTTTCCAAAGCGTCTCTAAGAAAGAAGTAACAGAATGTGGCAGAAATTACCATAAAAAGCAAGAAAAATCGGTGAACATTCAAATTGGTTTCACAGTAAAAACCAGAGGAGTGAGTTTTTTTTCCAAGTCTCAATAGTTTAAATCAATTGAAAGTGATAATGAAACATCTCTGTCATAAAAAATGCACATTTAATGCGAACGTTTTCGTAACTGTACTGTTGTGTTGAATACAACAAAATTGTATCAAAAAAGGCAACTCAATTTGATTTGAAAACAAATTTTGTTGAATTTCAACTTTTTATATGACAGAATAAGAAGTTTCATTACCACTAACATAGTACGTAAAAGCAATTTTTATCAATAGTTTTACGAAATAGTGTTTATTAAAAAAAGTGTCCATTCCTTTTTTGGTTAGATCGAGCAACCTGATGACAGTCGTCAATTGAAGAATTGAATACACAGATATGGTTTTGAACACACAGATGATGATGAATAAAATTCAAATCAAAATCATGTATCAACGTTATCAACCTTTATATTAAGTTTATACAAATAAAAATGTAAACGTAACGTTTGTTTATTATTTACTTGATGCGATGAGAATCAATTGCTTTTTTGGGGGGGATTTAGATCCATTTTTTTTCATTATAAAAAATTTTGGGGGGGTCATGACCAGCAAAATTAGAGGGGGAAATCCGGACGTTACCATCTCCAGGTGGAGGGTAAATCCAGAAATCCCCCCCAGTGCCCACGTCTGATTCAGATTGAGTCGATGTTTATATTTTGGCCCCATGTTTTTTTTTTCCTATCGTAAATGAAACACATATGCTCACAGTATTCACATTTTGATTGATTTCTTTGTTTTTGACCCCGATACAAACACACACAAATAAAACCATTTCTTGGACATACATCAGTGCACTTCAAATACAGAGTATTTTTTTTATTTCTTCTTGTAAATATTGGGATTACAGTACGCCGTCGGTATTCGGTCATGTAAAAGTGTTTGTAGCCATACGATGCTGTTAAACAAAAATTGACCATCAAAAATGATGTAATTAAAATGGAATCGAAAAATGCATTACACCAAGAAAAACAATGGGGGACCTATTTAACGTTGAATTATGGCTGTATGCAATTGCAATAAATGTCGAACTTAACTGAACTGTGTAGTTTCATAAATACGCATATGCAAATTACATCCCAGTGAAGATCATTCTGTGGTATACCGTAGACAAGCACAAATCCAAAAATCACATATGAGCGGCAAAACGGACAAAATAAAAGATCGTGCATTTTTCTGCTATGTTTACTTCATGTTCGCTAGATTGTATTTTATGTGTCCAAAAAGATGTATTTTCTCTTGAATTCCCATGCATTTATGAATGTCAACGATAGCATAGGGTTGCAAAAAAATATGATGTCGTTCCATCATTGATATATCTTGAACAAATCTTCATAATTGAAAATTCCTCACAATAGATTTCGGATCACTTACGCTGGTTTTTTTTTCGATGAAACATCAATAAAATTTGGATTTTTTAATGTCTTTTGGTCTAGACTTAAACTATAAACTTGTAACTACTAACAGGGACTTGTTAGATTAGACGTAAAACTTTTCTTCAATGTATCACCTCTAGATGAATTGAATGATGACTTTTGCAGTATCATTTCCTAAGGAAATGGTTTTTGGACCGTTTACAATTCGCATACCTACTCATTTCCATTGTTCGGTTGCTATACTATTATTGTAAATCATATATTGAGCCAGTTATTGGCGGTGTTGAAAAAAAAGATGTATGCGCACAATTTTGCTTTTTGAAAGCACATGCCATGTACTAATTCAGGGAAACCTTTCAAGCATAGTTCAATTTCATTGCAATAATCTTCAGAATTGACTCCAACAGAGTGTGGAATCTATTCAAAATAACTCGTCAATTAAAAACGTTTCTAAGGACAGGGTAGAAGAATGTGTCACATTGATGTTTTTACTATAATATATGTTTTACTCCCATCCACTACTCTCTTTCTCTGTGTCTTATTCTTGAGTTTTACACCACTTTGGGTTATTTTCTGAAAATCATTTCATTTCAGAAAAATAAATGAAAACAACGTTTTTTTTTATTTCGTATTTGTGATTTAACACGCAACTAAGAAAACATAAACAACAAACAACCCGATCGGACTGAATGCGCAATTTATTTAGCTAATCTAGTTTATGTGTTTGTCATTTACGCAGTGAAGAGTTTCAATTTATTTGTACTCTGTTTTTTTTCTTGTTTTATACCCTACACGTGGATTTCATTTTTATTTATTTTCTTTCAGCGCTTATTTGTTTACAAATAAACAGACCAAAGGCAGCATGTGATTTTACCATCACCGATATTTTACCACCTGAGAGATAGAGAGAGAGAGAGAGAGAGAGAGAGAGAGAGAGACCATACAAATGAAAATGAAAGTTTTTCAACTTCAAACCAGATTTGAGAAATGATTTGAATATGTTCAAGACTACTGTGGCATTTACGGTAGCATAATTAGTAGGACTGATGAAGATCAACATGTGTCACGCGAAAAGGTTGAAAACTATTTTTGTGCATTGGTCTTTCGAACAATATGGCTTTGTAGTAGCCCTTCCACACATAAAATATAAACGGTTTGATAAAACTTACGCGTCAGCTGTTTGAAAATTATGAACATGAATGAATTATGTAGATTTATTGTAGCGGCTGTCATTGACGATACAATCTGCTTTTGAGCGCAGAGTTGATTGAAATGCACGGTCATTTTCACTTTAGATTTTTGATTGTCTCTGTGTGAAATGTCTTGAATATTGCATGTAAGTACATGCATGCGTTCAATTTGCGTATACGACGGTATTAAAGATTATTTTAATCAAAACAAACTTAATGAGGGAAGACGTAAAAAGAGAATAGAAACCATGTAGATGACCAACGAGAGGTGTGTCTGTACTACAGTTTGACGTAGCCAAGAAAACTATAGTGACAAACTACAAAACCAGTTGAATGCGAAAACAATCACTTAGATATCATTTGCTGTTTACTTGTTGGTTCTTATCATATTTTTTTTTAATTATATGACACGATTTAAATTTTTATGGCAATCACGTAAACCTACTAAATAACAAGAAATTAGAATGTATTTTCTGCTTTTCTTATTTCAATATGGCAGTATTTTTCTTTTTAGCCAATTTACAGCCAAAATCACAATTTAGTTGCTACCGCATTAATATCAAGTACTATTTGAATAAAGCAATGACTATAGATAGAGTCTCTACTCTATTCTTTCATTTGATTTTGTTTATTCTTTGAGGTCATTGATTTTTTATATTTGTTATATTCAACACAGTTCATTATTATGCAGATATCATTATTTGTGGAGCATATTACAACCATGGATGATAAGCTATAATTTTGAACATTTCTCTCTCATATCATATTTATATTTTTATTCAATAGATTCTCAATTCATACAAATTAAGTTGATTTGATTGAAGAGTTAATGATTCAATTAGAAAATAGTTAATTTTTCTCAATTGGAGCAGGCAACACCTTAAATAACCTTCAAATCTGATTTGCAATTTCATGTATGGTTGTAGCACAGCTACACAACCAAACAATCGGCATGCATTAACTTAAGGGACACTCATAGAAGGCAGAGTAAGTAAAGGCACGCTAAATGAAACAATTATGCCGAATGAACAGAAAATCCATTGCGACGAAAATATTCATAAAGTAACTCGGGTTCAGATCAAATGTAATGAATTTGTCTTGAAATGGTTATCCGTTTTATGAATTTGTTGTTTAGCTTCAACTCAAGAAAATCTATTAAAATAAATTGCGTACATATTGAACTACCAAAATCACTGTAAATCAAATCGTATAGCAACGCTTTTCCATCATTAAATATCTTAGTGTCGAAGTTGTATTTCACGATGTGTTTGTTATTCTTAATGAAATACGTCATAACAAACGCAATCGTATAATTAAATTAAAAATTTAATTCCCAAAGAAATTACTTTGCTCAGTTTTTTTCCCACAAAAAATGAATAATTCCAATAAGCAACTTGAGTTAGTGTCATTGTACTAACGCACATACTTCTCATTGTATACTTTAACTAAATTAAGAATAGGTACAAAATTCACTTGTTTCAGTTGATTTTGCGTCTGACTAATGAGAAAAATATGATTTTATTGATTATTAAATATTGTTGCAAACATGACATGGCAAATATTTGTTTGGATACGAGCGGATGTTATGTTGTTTCAGTCAATATTGATTGTTACATCGGTTGATTCCTTTATCATCATAGCATTTGTTTGGCAATTATCATTCAAAACTAATTTTCGAGACAAACAAGAAAGTTTTTTTGGTTGCTCGTATCATATTTATACATGCTAAATTTGGATCTGACGCCATAAATGAAATAAAGCCACAAATTTTGAACTATAGTTCCAAATATGCTTGGAATTCCAACTGATAGCAAAAGAACTAACAATGAAATTTATTTTCACTCTACAACAACGAATAGACAAAAAATGAAACGATGAAAACGATAATCCGGAATTTCACTTAATATTTTAGTCTATTGAATTTTTGCATGGGTAGACATAGGTGTGTTGGCATTTGTTAACAATGAAGTATGCTGAATTTAGCATTTATCGGTGGAGAATGCTATACCAGTTCTAATTTTATGTTGGGATCCTATTCATCAGATTGTCTAAAACATTTTGAGAGAAAAAATGACCAACGTTGTATTGAAATGTTTGAAACATTCTCTAAAATTACTAAATTCATCCTATTCAATTTGTTTGTAATCCGATGAAGTATGTGCGTGTTTCGGTAGTTGCAGATGAAAACCCAACTCAAATTAAAACGTTTACATACGGAGGAAATGAGAGAGGGGTCATAATCATTTTGGCTATTTGTGAATAAGCTAGTATTCGATTAGCTAATGTAAGATATGCACATTTGACATATGTGCACATCAATGTTTTTTTGCATTTTTAGACAAATATACAGTACACAATAAATGTCGATATTTTATTTGCCAGTGAATCATAATAAATTGTTGGCCTGCATCTCTTTTTTTTCGAACACATACTATTATACTATTGTTTCGATACTTACCCAATGGCATATCACAGAGTAAACAGGTAGCTGCCAAGCACCCAGCTGAAGCTCCACTAATTTTATCAAGTAACAAATGTGGCGCATATTTTTTAAAACATACAGCAACTCCAACATGATAAATACCGAGGAATCCACAACCAGCGAATGACAAATTCATTTTTCCACCCGTTATTGTGTTTAGAAACAATATTTTTGAACACTTGAGCGTTGGTGAAGAAAATTAAATAACCGTTCTAACCAAGTTTTTCTACGTGCACGAAAATTTTACAATTTCCAGAGATATTTATGATCGTGTTTCGACTTTCTTCCTCTTCTAAATATCTTCATAAAACACGAGCCCTGAAAAAAAAAAATCATAGTTAAATTTCAGTTGAAAATCAGCATCGATGGATGCCGAAACGTTGTCTTTCTTTTTTTTGTGAAAGAAAATTGCTACAACGTTTGGTGAACAACAGTTATTTATGATGAAACTAGTCCTAGAAACAACTGGACATCTTTATAATCATTTTGCAATTTAAAAAAACTTCAAACTATTTTTCTCGCAAAATTTTCAAAGCAAACAATGAAAAACCGCTTCAAAACTTTTTTTTAACGTGAGTCATTAATACACAATTATTATATACTTTTTTACGATCACGAAATATGACATCAGCTGTTGGTTTATTAACTCACAATGAACTCTCATGAATTCAGTCGGTTTGTCAGGCAAGACAAAAACAACGTCAATAGTTTTAAATGTTTGTTGAAATCAATATTAGTTTTCCGTTTGGGTTGAATTTTAAATAGTATTGATTTGATCAGTTCGTTACATTAGCACAACTAAGCAGGTAATGCTTTCGATCGTTGCTTATGATCTTATTTGATGTAGTTGCAGCCTAACATTTGGAAAATACTCCCCAGTGTGTTCATTTGAGAAGTGTGTGAGTGAATGTTTGATTAAAAGGTTCTCAAATTAATACACATGAATCGCCATTGTTGTGGTCATTCGCATTATAACAATAGTACGAAATATAAGAAGATAGTAGAATCATTCACACATACATCGAAAATAACGTACGAGCTCAATATATCTGTTATTTGCTCACATACGCACATAGTACTTATGACGATTACAATAACAAAAAAGAAACAGAGCGATAAAACTGATGATTAAATGCGCACACATGTGCACGCCAAAATTAAGTGTATCAGCAGTACACGCTGCATCAGTTGATTTGAACGAGAAAAAAACATCAGCTCTCATTATTCATAGTATGTTGTATGGCTTTGCGCTGATAGTACGGGCAAAAATGAAACAGCCAATGTGTATATAATGCATAAGTAAATAAAGATTGAATTCATATTATTTGATAAGCGTGGATGGAAGAAATCAGTACAAAAAAGAAATTGATCGTTCATAAGCATAGTGAAAGCCTGTAATGCATCACAAATCTGAGTTCATCCGTGTAGATGATACTACACACTTGATCCAAGCTGCAATCTTACATGTCAACAGAAGCACACCACGTTTATTACATTTATTCAGAATGTGCAATGGAAAACGAATTTTCACCATTAGCTTAAAAATGTATTTGTGTATATGCGTTTAAAGTGTATGATCCCTTTTGAAATCTGATTTTAATTGTAAAACTTAACGGGAAAATTGGTGACTGTTCTAGAAAATTATTCGTTGAATTGTGTGTCGTATGTAGAACCATTCCAACGGAATGAATAAGGGCGCGATAATATATCTGAATTTTAATAGAAAATATTCGACGAAAGTAGCCAATCTTATTTTTGCAATAGTATATCGGTCGAAATTGAAAATTCTAAATCTCTAGTCGCGTTTAAAAATAACCTAAAGCATCTGTTACGTTCCGCGCAGTAAATTTTTAGATATTTTTCAAATAGTAAAATACTCGGACCATTGTTATGAAATTTCTTATCCAATTTAGATTAAGTTTGACTTTTCATTTGATTTTTCTCATTGATGTTAACGTACTTTAATTGCAAAAACTCTCATCATTGTATTTCCCCTGGTTTTCCAGAATCAGGCCGGTTTTACCATGGTTTTCCGGACCCAATTCTGGTATGAAAGCCTCATTTTTATATCATCCCTCCCCTGACTGAATTCTCTTTGCAAAAGACGCACCATGGGCGGAATTTATGCCGTATTGAGTCTCTGACCAGCATGTTCTCAGCTTGCTGGGAACACATATTGGCATAAATGTAGGCTCCGTAATAAATAAATAAAATAAATAAATCTGTATTTGCTACGCAGCTGTCATATTTAAACAAATTGAAATGATTAAACAGGCGCTGTTGCTGTTGCTGCGTCAGCAACATCATTCTTTACGTTCATTTGTCAACAAGTGACGTCAACATTTATAAAAAAAATTAAACACACTAATGCAAAACGACCTAAAGATATAAAATCGTATACAAAAAACTAACTATATTCTAATGATGGACAATTCCTATAAGCATTACATATAATATTTGTGTAGCAATTGAATGCCATGGATTGAATGTAGGTTGCAACAGCTGACTGTATTCGTTACAAGTTCGTTGGCTTGTGTTTATTGCTGTAAGTGTAGTCGAAAAACGCATATGTATTTGTGTGTTATGTCTTTGGAAGAAAGAGTTTGCGAAAAAAAACGCGCGGGAAGATAGCACTTGTCATTCAGTGCTTTGCTTTGAAAAGAGATATAGTTTTGTTTTTCTATCAAAGCGAAAATACGTTTCAACTCTCTCCAAATGTTTCAAAACAACAAACTCGTGCACCACGTAACGGATTGAGCCGAGAAAAAAATGTTCAGCCATTCAATGAAAATATAGATAACAGCAATCGACTCGCATGTTTGAAGTTGATATTTTTTTCACAATAGCAGCTATAATTTCAACTTGCATGAATCATAAAATCTCATGGCAAATGTATGACACTTTTTCATTTTTTTTTCTATATTCTTTTCATTTGACATCACATGAGCTAATCAAATCGGTCGTGGTTTTGTTTCGAAATTCACTCGATTCACTTGTCGTGTAAAAACTGTTTGTGCACATTTCTCATATATTTGAGACACAGGAACATTACTTACCATAAAAGTTCACTTATTTGTTTTTTTATTGTTTTGTCATTTAATCAGTTTAATATTTTCTGCTATAAATTCCAACAATTTTTCGCATTGTTTCTCTCTTTGCCGATTTGTTTGTTTACTTTTTTTTTTCTTAAATTCCATATAAAGTAACAAACCTTCCATGCATGACAACAGCCAATCAAAAACTAATTTCATTACATGCTTACGCTATATGCTTGACTCTGAAACGACACGCAAAGACGGTTTGGCATTATGGTCTCATACGTATAGAGAACGCGTGAGACGACATTGCTAGTGTGTGTGTGTGTGTGTGTGCAGCCAATCCTGTCTGTTTTTCATTTGACTTAAAATCGTACGATATCTATGGTTTGCGAACGTATGTGTAAACCACAGTTCCATAAGTTGCTTTGCAGGAATGAAAAGTAAGTTAGATAGGTGTATTAATTTAAAAAAAAATCGTTTGTAATTCTACTATACTTGGTTTGTAATATATTGATCATATTCAGAATTTGTGTTCTTTTGTTCCTATTAATGTTAGTGCGAAGTGATTCATTCATTCATATTTAAAATTGATCCGAAAGGAATGAATGAAATAAAGGAAACAGTAGATTTTTAAATTCATTTCATTATTTTTAACGCTCACTTTTCAAATTGCCCAAAGATGGCAGGCGATACTAACGTCATGTCATACATGCTCCCGCTATATACAATAGTTTCATTCACTTTGAAGTTTGTTACCGTAAACAACCCTTCGTTCTCAAATCTACCATCTGATAAAATATAAAATGTTGCTTCACTTGACTAAATCAAAAAGAAAAATGGATGGAATATTTGAATTCCCATTCATCTGTATTCATCATTTTGTTATCGATCGATTGATCGAACCAAACTATGTCATTTTTCGCATCTGATGTTTGAGATGACCATGATCATTGCTATCTTTAGTTTACATTTTTGAACCGAAATTAATGGAAGAAAAATTCGTTTGGAAATCAAAATGCTTGTAAAAAAATATATCGTGAGCATTTGGAATTTTTCTTTTCTAAATTGTGTAATTTTGGCAATCTTTGGTGAAAATGCACAATTTCTCATGATATCATCTTTTGTTTGTTCGTTTAATATATTTTTTTTATTAATGTTAGAACTGAATAAAGAACTGATCGACTTATGAAAATGTCACAACCAAAGAAGTAGGGAAAGCCGCCCAACACATGTGCGTTGAGGTACATCATTCTTGGTCATTTCGACTGTCACTCATAAGCATAATCAGCCGACTACGAATATTGCTGTCTTTTTTGCTCCATTTTTTTGCATATAAAGTAATATGAATCTTAAGTCACTTACACTACCGTGCAAAAGTTTGGAACCACTAGGTATTTTTCATACAAATTGACC